AAATCGTTGCAATTCCTAATGGTGTAACAAAATAGTAAGCTGTGAAGAACAAGATACTGTTACGATAGAGCAACCTTGTCCTAAATAAAGAAGTGAAATAAGAAGAAACTAACTCACAACTTATATTTTTGTATTGAAACAGCCAAAAGTTACTACTTTATATCACAGACATTAAAACTGTTATTTCCAACTTTTGTTATTTTTTACATTGAATCAACCCAGGTTTCTTAATCCATAATAATCCACAGTTTTACCTGGGTCAAAACATTACTTACCCTTGACAAATGTGAATTAAATGTTACCTATGCCACGACTTTCCACATAACTTTCTAGGAAGGTGATGGTTTACGCTTTAGTGTAACTTCCTATATTGGTAATTAGCACAACTAGTTTCGGTTGAGTTATTATGTACTATACACACGCGCGCGCGCGAGCACACTGTAACCGTCGTCTGTAGGACTTCTTAACAGTATAACTTTTGTTATGTATTATTTAATGTATTATATAACGTATTTAGCAAACATTACTGGCTTGCGTCAGAAGAAATTGGGTAGTAGTAAAGAAACTACGATTTATTGCCAAGCTTTCTACAGCGAATGCACATCGGCACCATAAAGTAATTCTAGACGGGTTCAAGGAATTGCGTTTATTTTTTTTTTTTTTGATAGTTGTTTCGCCCTCAGGAAATTAACAAATGTTACGGAAATGGTCATTTCATAAACAAAGAGCATAATTTTGGAAAGGGCTTTTGTTGCACAATTTCTCGGCATAAAACTAAATGACAGGGAACACTATTTATTGCTTTATGAGGAAGGGTACTGTATAAGAAATGTAATGACGGCCGGTAAGAACAATAAACGCCAGCTGCCAATAAGCAAGATGTGCGCATTGACAAAATGGTGGGAGTTAAAGAAAGTTTAACAAATAGGACTCTAATGTAGCCACACCCTTTAGAACAAAGAGAATTTCGGTTATTGGTCAAGTTAGGAACCGTATGCACGACAACGAGGATGGTGAAGTTAATGGAGAGGGAAATCGGAAGCCGGGGCGAAAACCTTGGATCAAGGAGACGTCATTTGGGTACCTAGCTTATCGGGAAGCGGAATCAGGCCACGGCTAGGGGACGGTCGAAGATAGGCTCCTTATTCTGTCGCGCGCGAATTTAAGTAGTTAGTTGGATCCTGTTTATAACGCAATGTGGCAGTTGGGTTTCCTCCTATTTCGCAACGTTTGTCGCGGGCGCGGAGACTGCACATCAGGCGGAGAACGCGGGAGCTGGCCAGCACGCGGGACGCGACGATAACGAAGCCGCCAGCTAAGTTTAAATTACATACTGAGATAGGAATTGACGGTCATGAGGCTAACAAGTACTGTAGGAATTATTATCCTAAATGTATTTTATACCAATTCCATATTTATATGTATTGTTAAGTATGTATATTTGCTCAACTAACTATGTCTAAGGTTTTCCTAGGGGCGAGAGGCGGAGTGCTGACTGTGTCTTATTTTACCATCGCATTTTTTATTTAGACGCGGCTAAATCGTTCTTAATTTCTTACTTGTACAATTCCGACGGTGTTCATGATTTAATTGTTGTTTATCTATTCGTAATTTTAGAACATCATCGATGGAGTTGTCATGGTGCGAAGCTGCATTGATTAGTTACAGTGCGAATGAACTAAGAGTTAGTGATAATCTGATATATATTTACTCTATCTGCCTGCTTTTAAATGCTTTGTAATATATGTGTCACTGTGTTTTCAATGACAAGAGGAAGAGTGGTTCTATCTCATAATTAAATCTCCTCCGCCCTGCCTAATGTTTCACTGCAAGCGCTGTGTCAAAGTTGTACGCTTTTCTGACTCTCGTTTGTGTCAACCAAGAGATAATTAGTCTTATATTATATTAGTCTTGTGTGAAGTCTGGTTAGAGCTGTAACCTTATGTAAGGGGATCACAGAATGGTAACTGTTAGACGCACTTCAATGATATTCAGACTACCTTGCACAAATCATCATGACCCTCTGGTTCTTGACACAAACATCTGCTTTCGAAGTAGGGAAGCGTAGTTAAATAGCAGCGCGTAAATGCAAAGGGTAACTTAGGAAGCGTAACTTGCATGTTTATTTTATTTATAGAATGTGAATTAGTGATTTTGTATGGAACGCGCAAGGGTATGAACGAGACTTAGGCATTATACAAGGTCAATTAGCTGTCTGAAGGCTTTGCTGGGTGTGAGGATCGGGGTCTCAGGTTGACCTTCTAACGAACCTCATACGGGACTGGCTCTTACAACACATTGATTATATTCATACTAGCTTTGGCTAGCGTCTTCCTCCGAGACGATTGAAGCCTAGTGTGGTCGTTATAATATATTTTAATGTGTAAAATTGTTGATCCTAAGTTATGGTAAATAAATAAATAAATTCAGCATATAAAACAAGATTTAATTAAGAAGATTTGTAATCAACGAAAAATAGACACTTAAGTTATTGACAACTAAAAAAATCATCCTTTTAGATTTATTTACTACTAGATAGCACGGAAAATGGCACATCTTTATGCTAAAGATATAAATTCAACTGTGTGTCATGTTACGAAAAATTTCAAATCATAAGAATCAGCGTGCCGTTAACTTTACTTACCTAACTATACTTTCTCTACTCTCCGAACAACAGAAACAAACGTCATCAATATACATAATATGTAATAAGAAATAAGTTTTTTTTTCTTTTTCCAGCACATCGATTGGTTCCTCCATCAAGAAGATTGCAAGAAATGACGAAGATGAAATAAATTAGCATTGTAATATTTGAAGAAAACTTCGGAAACGAAGGGAGAACCATAAAGTATGCAACGCCCGTTTAGTGTGTCTACTTGAATTTACTCACTAATTATCATTAGTAATCATTACGATACCAAATAATTCCAAATATATCCAAAAAAACTAATGGACGCTTTGAACTTTGGGCCGGTCTTATCGTACGTGACACGACTTAGACTTGAATTTAAATTTTAACTAAGTTTAACGTGCGCTTGATCCTGTACCTACAGTACCGGCACGCTATAACGGCCGTTTTGACAGATTACAATAGTGAGTCAAATCGCAATTCATTTTCGAAAAAAATATAATCAAATGCGAGTCGCATCTATAAGATTTTATATTTGTAACTAGTATTGCAAGGGGTAGCTGATTAAAACAGTTTTAATAAAACGAAAATAAAAATGCTTACTTACTTCTAAGGCTTACTTTATATATCGTCAATTCGAAACTGCTTTGTGTTGCATTGAGCTTTGACGCGAGTTTGCCGGAGGTAAAAGTTGTGTTAGTCAGCGATCCCGTAAGTGACTATAGATTTAATTTTTTTAAATTTCGTATTTCGAAAAACAAATGCCGAGTGTGTCATAAAATTATACATTCCATAAATTTTACTGCACGTCACTATTGACAACAATGTACAGCAATTAGCTCCTTCAACATAGTTATGAATTATATAATACGAAACTTGTTAAGTGTACAAACGTCAAAACGGCTATAATAGCGTGCCGGCAGTGCCGGTGCTTTAGTTAGAGCTGGAAACTGCGAGCTAGATGGTTTTCGATTCCCTCGACAAATTGAATAACATGAGATCGAAATATCTATTTTTATTCTTTTCTCACACTTTCTAGAAAACTGCAAAGCAATTTTGTGTCCAGGGACAATATACAGACAAAAGTTACCAAAAGTACATCATATTTTAAAGTACTATTAAGTTTCATACCCATTAAAGTTTAACAAAGTTTCTTTTTATTTGTTTTATTTCCTTATAATTACTTTAATTCTAGTGACTATAGAGCAACTGCGACCATACATATCGTAATAAAGCAATTGATATTAAACTAAGTATAGTTATGTCATACCACATTAAAACCCGTTACTTAGAAGCTAAAATGGCAGCTGCTGGTTGAGGCACTCTGAGCAACTGCTGCGGTAGGTATCAACACTGTAACTTTAAATTCATTTCGACACAGCCGAACACTAATCTTCTATCACTGCATTTTTAAACTCAAGGAATTGAATGACGATTATCGTCTCGCTGTTACAAAGAACCATGTCATACAGTGTAAAAAGTCGGTCAATTCTTGTAAAACAGCTTATCCCTTATTTAATTATTGATTGATTGGTGAAACATTAGATAAGAGAACATTGATTTTGGCGTGATCCGTGACCTGGTGGGCACCGTTACTGGCACTTCTTGAGGCGATTAGCAAAATGTAGTCGATCTCCGAGTTCGTTGGGTTCACACCAGTATTAATATGTGTAACATCGCAGGTTTTTGTTACCAGAGTTTATATTTTTGAACAATTATCATCACCATCATCATCAGACTATATCGTCGGTTATCGCCGTTTTTTTCTCTACTCAACTGTGAAAGAGTAGGTTTATTTGGTTGCTTTATGTATATTGTAAATACTTAAAACTTCTTTTTTTGGTATCAAAACAGGAAGAGAACAAAAATAAACTATTTATTGTTATAGATGTAAGTATATAATTATTACAGTTTATTCATTTAAGCATGACAGAAATAAATACTCTTCTAATTAACAAAATACTTATTTAGATTTTTTAATTTTTATTACATATAGATGATAGACGGATGAGAAGGATTTTGGTACTAGAAGTGGCATAAATATATTTTTGTTACATGTTAAATGTTGTTTATTTGGTGAACGATAAAATGAGTGTTCTTCTGAGTGAGTCTTCTTTCTCATTTATGTTTATGAGAAAATCATTCGTGTTACTGCAATCTCATTCGGGTGAACCTAAAGTATCGTTTTTTGTTGTAGTTCACTTAAATGTATCTATGATTTAAATAATTATCGGCATTGTTTGAACTTATTTGTACGTTTAAGATCCTAAAACCTAAAGAAAAAAGGGCTTTACAAAAATCACTCAAAAAGTGCTATTGAAATTCGGAAAGTGAAATTGACCCTTGTATAGAAGCTTTATGTGATATTTTTATTATACCCTGCTTATTATTCTTTCTAAAGAAAAATTCATTCGGTTCTTGTAGTCAGCAACTTAAGAAAATGTTGTAGACGAATGCCAATTGAGGTCGGTATTATGTAAATTGTAAAGTGACCAGTCTTCATTCGAAGTGCATACTATTGATTTTATTTCAGCATAACACGATGAATTTTTTTGTTCACGTTTGAAAATTTTGAAAGTTATGGATTGCTGTTGTTGATTTATTAGTAAATTAGTCATGTTGCGCCACTTCTGAAGAATTCTGAGATGTGTTCACTATAAATATTGTACCTATACCATTTTTGTTTTGTTAACAGCATTCGACCGGCGACATTGATAATAATTTCCAAACCTCCACCGATTCTATCTGAATACATTTTTACAAGATTCAGTTGTGGAATTGACGGCGTATATGAAAGTAGCAATGATTTTTTTTTAATCAATTCTAGGAGATCTTGCGGATGATATATACAAGAAACGCTATCAACTGGTGTTTAATGACATATTTAAGCCACTTTTAATGCAGAAGGAAAATATCCATTGAAAATTTTTGTTAGGAAATAACACATTCGCGGCGGTCACTATTAAGACCCCACGGCCCGTTCCACGTGTCACGCCGCGCGAGGTCGC